GACAAGAATCCAAAATCAATCCAAAAACGTAATCACAACCCCAAATACCCAAACCAACGTCAAAAGAACTACCACAACAATCAAACTCATGTCAAAACCAACTACAACATCAATCACACAACTCAAACCACAAAAAACGCACCAATTCAACCGACACGCTCGAGAATAGATGCAAAAATGGGCAAAACTAAATGGCATTGAGTGATAATGCATCAAGCATGAGTTACAAGTGCCAAAAATCGAACCAACAATTGGCAAAAATCTAAACATTCCAAAATAAATGCAAAAATGAGGAAAAAACCAAGTTTTTCAAAATTTACCTTGAAGTTCGAAGTTTTGATGAAGCACCACATGCAATGAGTGATTTGAAGTGCTTAAGAGGTGGGTAATCTTCTAATTTGGGGTGTGTGATGAAGATTGTGGAGAAATCAAAGGCAAAAATGGGAAAAATGTGTGAAAACCCTGAAAAATAGCTTTAAAATTCAAATTTACGGCATGTCGCTCGAGCGAGGGCTCAGCGACAAGCGAGCAAGACAACTTCTACTACTGTCGCTCGAGCGAGTTCCAACAATAAGTTGGCGAAAATAGAATTGACAGAAATAACACTTCAATTTTAAAAATAAAGAAAAATATCACTAATTGTTTTTTTTAAAAAATAAAATAAAATAAATTAAATTAAATTCTTGTCAACCCGATGATCACAACCATGCATGTATTCACAAGTCAAGCATTATCCGTAAAGACTTTCCCGCGTACTCAATGAGGTTCAAGATGGAGTAAAGTGTATGAGTGACTCATGCGTGTAAAGCGCCACTATTTTCTAGTGAAAATGACTTCAAACCTTAAATTTGTGAGAAAGGACATGCAAATATCACTGTTAAGTAAGTATGATCCCTCCTAACGAAAGTCAAACCCAAATGTAATGTTAGGACTTGAAAACGAGCTCAAGTACACGACTAATTTTATTTTCTCCCCCTGAAGATGAGCATATAAGTTTTTTATATCACTTTTCTCATACATTACATCTTATGTACAGACTCTTTTCCATTAATTGACTAAATTGACCTCTGTAACGAGTTTTAGGTCGGTTAACCCAAGTCTAGGTTATAAGAAACCCCTCGAGATTAATTGCTCAAGTGAAATAGGCTTCAAACAAAAGTATAAGATGAACCAACATATGTGTATTATTTTTTTATTTCATTTTCTTTATTTCAAACAATGCAGGGAGACTCATCACAAGTAAGGTCAATTCACGTTCGAGGTAACCCCACTAACATATGACGGCCATCCCAAATCTCAAACACAGAGTCCAAACTCACTCACAAGATCATAGTATGTGCTGTTCAGATGGTACATGAAAAAAATATACTCAATACTCCATAGCAAACCGAACCAGGTAATGGAAATAATAGTATAGATTGGATAACGGCATACTCGATCGCACATGCAATGTTGAAAAAATCATAAAATGTCTATAGCTTCAAAATTTTATTTTAAAAAAATTAAATAAAAAAAATCAATATCAAAAGGACACAAATACAAACCGAAATAAAACAAAACGCAAATATTGATATGCATGCATGGATGAATTGACTCAATGGACTGCATATGCATGCACTTAAGGAACAAATCACGAAGAACCGTGAATGCTCTTACCTTTAAGAGCATGATTAAACTTGCGACCTTCCAGATCACTTCTCTTAACTCAAGCTTGTTTAGAAGTAGAAGTGATTTTAGTTAACCGAGTTATCATCTCAGTTAAGTGGCTAACCTGATTGGCGAGGAAGTTAACTGTGCTTAAGACATCCTGACTTTTACTTCTAATCATAAGTTTACGACACCTAGGTCTTGTATGTCTTAGTGCACCACAAAGGTGGCAGGTGGGAATAAACTTAGAATCAACCCTGTTCGGTGGTTGTTGCCGATAAGTAGGACGATTTACCCTACGTTGTCTAGTAGGTCTCGATCCTAAATCATTTTTGCCCTTTGATTTAGGGCAAACAATTTTCCGAGCTTTGTTAATGGCTGGAACGAACGTGGTCCTTGACGTACTGGCCATAATATTACCATTATGAACATAACCCAAACCATATCTGCCTCATCAGGCTTGTTCATCCCCCAACTGATTATCAAGCTTCTATGAGCCACTATGAAAGATTGGAGTTGAGTACTGGATTTTTCAAGATCATTTGTTAATGATTTAATTTTGGCTTCCAGATTTCCGTTAACAAGCTTTAACCCACTCAGTCTTTTGGTAGAGTTCTGAAGGTCACATATGAGTTTCACTCTTTCTCTTTCAAGTTCGTTAACCTTCTTCAAAACAGCTTGATTGATCTTTTTAATCTTAATACTCTCATCAAATAGTTCACGATAAGATTCGTGAATGTCACGTTCATCCCCAGATTTCTCACTTTTATCATCACTTTTAATGTTATTAATTTCCCTATCAGATTCTATAGTCGCTATAGATGTAAAGGACGTGAACTTTTGATTATCTTCACCATATCTTCACCACCAGAAGTATCACTATGAGCACTAGAATCTAATTCATCATTACTTAAGGTCACTGCTATAGCCTTACGTCTACTATTATTACTTAAGGTCACTGCTATAGCCTTACGTCTACATTCATTCCTATAGTGACCGTAACCCTGACACTCTGGCATCTAACAAATTGAGTTTTCTTATTAGCAGTCATACAGTCACTCTCTTCACGATTATCTTTCACGAATTTACTGAAATCTACTTTTCCATTCTTGAGGTTTTCTCCTATTCTTCTACTTTCTGAAATTTTTTAACGAAATAAGCGATTTCGTCGTCCCTAAGTGACTCGTCATCGGCAGACTCGCTCTCCTCCTCTTTTCTAATGGTGTTCATGGCGATAGATTTAACATTTTTAGGTTAAGAGACGGTGAATTCATAAGTTTGAAGAGATCTTAAGAGTTCTTCTATCTTAACAGAATCTAAGTCCTTACTTTTTTCTATCGCAATAACCTTAAGTCTAAATCTCATGGGGATCTAAGGATTTTTCTAACGATTTTGGACTTGGAGATCCTTTCACCTAAGTTAAAGCTCGAATTCACTATATCATTTAGTTTCGCATAGAATTCATCGAACTATTTATCGTCTTTCATCCTAATCTCTTCAAACCTAATGGTTAACATCTACATTTAGAATTTTTAATCATTTTAGTTCCCACGTTTGTGGTTTTTAATATAACCCAAACTTCCTTGGCAGTTTCACATATCGAGACTCTCCTAAATTCTTCAGCAGACACAGCCATGAACAGAACATGTAATGCTTCACTGTTCCAATCACATACATCTAAGTTAATTTTAGTCCATAGAGAGATGTCAATGGGTGCGACTACACCAGCAATGGTTGTTGAAGGTGAAGCCCACCCATTTTGAATGCTAATCCAAATATGTTCATCCAGTGATTTGAGGAATTCTCTCATTCGAACTTTCTAGTAGACATAGTTGCTTCCGTCGAAAAGGGGAAGCACAGATAATAACTGACTCATCTAGATGTAATAAGGGGTCAAGAATCGAATTAAGGCTCTGATACCAATTGAAAGTTACGCAATTCGACCCTAACAATACCTAGAGGGGGGTGAATAGGTATATTATGCGAAATTAAAAATATTATAACAAATTAGCAACAAGTCACCAATTTTTATCTCTAGATGGTTAAACAATCATGTCAAAATAATCCTATGTTTGAATACTACAAATTATATAAACAATAAATAAATCAGTAAATCAACACACGGTATGATCATTTATCTCTATATGGTTAAACAATCACGTCAGATTAATCATATGTTTGAACACCGTAATTATATAAACAATAAATAAAGCAATAAATCAACACAAGGTATGATCACAGAGAAACCCAACTGAGAAAAACTCCGAGTACTTTGTCAGTCAACAATCCGCTATAAACGATTTGTAACTTACAGTCTACCATCCAGATAACAACACTTACTATCTGATCTCCTGGCTGCAATTTCAACAACTTTCTTAGATTCTGTGCTCTTGCACCATTCCCAGCTACAGTTTTCAAAACACTCCCGGATGGTGCTCTCCTGCAGCAAGTCTCAACTTTGTGAAATCGTTTTTCTCATGTGGATCCACGAAGAACACTGTGTTCTTCAACGACTGGAACTCTAGTCAACTTTTCTCGATCTTCAGCAGCTCTGACTGATGTGGTGGAAAGAACAGTTTGGTTCGATTGAAACTCCAGTTAACTTCTGATGAGGTGGAAAGAACAATTTTGTATTTGGATTATGAAATCGATATTTTTCTCACCAAAACAAACTCACAAGATGAAGGTTGAAAGTAGGAGTATGATTGTATTCTCTCAGATGAAGTTTTCTCAATGATCAACTTTGAAAATCACGGTCAAATGTGTTTTTATATTTATAGATAGGTTAAAAAAGTAATGGGCTTGGGAAAAAACCTTTAAATCATGAAATAAAAATTTTCCGGACATCATTGTCCCTCGACAGGCTGTCGCTCGAGCTAAGGCAAGGCGTCAAGTGTTGGAGGTTCTGTTTTTTATGCTCGAGCAAATCTATGGCGACAGTCAAGTGAAAATCCGCACCGTATTTTTCTTCTTTTGTCATACTCGAACCCTAAACCTAATAAACTTATTTTCACATAATTGCACATTACTCTTTGACTTTTTACAACATTTACAATTAAGTCATTTTTGTTAACAGAATTGCCAATACATAATTAAAACCTAACAGATAGTCCCAAGGTGAATGCGAAATTTTGTCAATACATTATTAAAAACTAACCTTTATAATTTTATAGGTCACATCGATTTCTCCTTCAATTGATGCATAAAGTGTCCGAGGAGTGTAAAGCAATTTTCCTAAATGACAAATCATTGCAGTTAAAAGGAAAGATCAAAAGTAAATGAGTTCACATTCTGTTTTATACAATATATATACTCACACATTCATTCTTGGATTTGCCAAGAAGGAAGAAGAAATGGAAAAGCCTGAAGCTGAATTGCTCATCAATCATTTTAGCCATCCTCATCCTTTGAAACTAGTTTCTTTCAAACCCCCATCAACCCTTAATAGACTAACATGTTCAGCTTGTACCAAACAAGCCTCGGGAGTGATTTACACATGTGATTCCTGCAATTATTGCCTACACAAACCTTGCTCTAAAATGCCCCAACATTTCAAACATGAGGCAGATAGCCATACCTTAAGTTTGCTTGCTGCTCCTCCCTACCCAGAAGGGGCATTTGAATGCAACGCGTGTGGAACAAAGGGTACCGGCTTCTGTTACCACTGTGAAAACTGCCATCTTGATTTGCATACTGTTTGTGCATTTCTTCGTTCATCAGTTAAGTCTAATGCTCATAAGCATGCACTTAATCTATGCTTTGAGTCACCCTACGGAGACAAGGCCTAAATTTGTGATATCTGTGGAGGATCTGGATCAAATCATTGGCTCTACCGATGTAATATGTGTGAGTTTGATGCCCATCTCAAGTGTGCAAAGGATAGCGTAAAATTACAACCTCAATCTAGTATGAAACAAGATGGTTCTACCTCAGGAATTCAGAGGAAAAATCAACCTCAGAGTGTTAAGTCCAGAAGTCTCCCTTCTCCTCAAATCCAACAGCAACCACAAGCTGGAGTCCAGTATACTCCACCCACATATCCAATTCCTGGCTATTCAGTTGGGCCGGCACCATCAACTCATCAATTGCATCATTCCTATACCGCACGGGTCTTGCCTATCCATGAAGGGTATGTCCAACCTGCAAGACGAAACGATTTTGTCAAGGAAATAGTTGAGGCTGCAATTACTGGAATAATCGAAGGAGAGGCGCAGCAAAAAGGCCAGGCTCTGTTAGAAGGTGCCCTGGGAAACTAAGCCAGACTTTACATATATGTTCTGCTATCCGCTCTACTGCCATCTATCTTATTACAAAATAATTAGAAGATAGGTTCAGCTAAGATCATGTGTGTTCTGTAAAATTCTAGCAGCTATGTTCTTATGAATTTTAAGGCTTAACTTCTCATTCCATGAAAAACTATAGCAACCCAGCACGGGATTACTTCCACTTTAGCTATAACTTTGATTTTTGCCAAATTCGAAATATAATCATATATTCGAGAAGCAATTAAAGCATAACCTCATGAGCAAATATTTCAGGATGGAATAGTTCGAGTTCCCTCAACATTAACCATGCATCCTTGTTTATTCAAGCAATTCCGAATTCATTCTCTTAATTTTCTTCTTCTTAATCAATCAATAAAACTAATTATCTGTCAAAACTGCAACTCTTTTTGAGAAAAGATCAGAAAATTTGCAAGAATTGCTAACATTTAATGGGACGCAAAAATTAGAAATAATCAAATAGCACCGAGTAAACAGATACGGATTGATAAAGAAAGGTGAAAATCAAACCTCAGTTCCAGAAAAGATTATTGGTTCTCTTTACTCTTTAGGAGGAATAATGGTGGTATGATGAAACTGGTGGAAATTCTGAATTTATGATTAAAAATTAAAATTTTAATTTATCAAAAAGGGCAAAGAAGCTACAAACCTTTTTTCTTATTATTCAATTGGGGAAGAATATTTTGCTTACAAAAGATTCCCAAGATTGTGTCATGAAAATTCCTTGCTCATTTTGTAGTGTCTGCTTATAAGCTGATCAACTATTATTTTTAAGGACCGTGCTATGGGTACACGGGTGTGTACCCGAACCGACTCCTCCCCCTCACAATTGGGAGGGTGCCATTTTTAAATTCACATCGGGCCCCCCTCACTGTGAGGGGGCGGTGGGGTCATATATCCGGACGTATAAACACTCGGGTACAAATGGCTTTACCCAATTTTTAATTACATATTTTTTGAAATTCAAAATATTTTTTAATCACAAATTCTTTGAGATCCGTTGTTGATGGACACTTAATTTGATTATGTATTTCAATTTGTGCCATTTTATGCAAAAACCCAATCCATGCACGCCATCTAACTTTAAGGGTATGTTTGGCAAAGTTTAATTTTTATTTTTTGAAAAAAATTGTCAAATATATTTTATTATATCATTTTAAAAGACAATTAATTTATTATCAACACATTTTCTAAGAATCGTAATTTATAAACAATTAAAAAAATTAAACTCTGTTAATCATGTACCGAGTCCAAATGAAAATTTTTATACTTCAATTTCATTTTTCTTAAAATGTAAACAAAAATAAGATAAATCAAGAGATGGCATGATCAAATGCCAAATTGAATAATGCAAATGAAAAACAAAATTTTAGAATTTTTGGATCGACAATGAGGAGAGCATCTTGGTCGTTGAAAAAGTGGACCCATAATAGTTTATAATTTATTTTGGATAAAAAACAACCCCAACCTTCCCATTATCTTGTACTCTCTATCTCACACGCTTATCCACGCTGTCACCGTCTATACATCTCTCCCCCACCCCACTTCACACGTGCCTAATCTTCTCTATCTACCCTCGCGCGTGCCATCCTCAGCAACTTGTTATTCTTCTTGTTATGCACGAATCCTCATGTGTGGTGCAACAGATAAAAGTTAGAGAGAGAAACCCAAACATTTGTGTGTGAGTGAGAGAGAGAGGGGGGATTGCAAAACCTTGCACAAACAAGAAAAAACTCAACTTTAGTATCCCTTCAGCCCTCTTCTTCTTCAAATTTTTATATACTCTCCTGTTGTGTAGTTGATCTATGAGGATCAGGAAGCGTTTAGCACCGTCTTATTTTTCTTCGGAGCCCCTTTCAGATCTCCAGCTCAACCAATCACTTTCAAATGGAAATCAAGCTAAGCCCAAATCCGATCAGCCCTCAAATCCTCCACAGAAGCCTTCTGACCAAAATATGGTGATAATCAAATGGGCACTGCACCCTAATGCTGCTATAACTGGAGAGCAAAAGGTAGGGGTTTGCTTGAAACTGCACTAAGAAGCTTATGCATTATATTCTCTGTAAATATGTGGAAATTTTCATTTTCTTGATTTACTTTTTGCAAGGAAATGGAAAGTGGGGAGCACAGCAGTAATGATATCAGGTAACATTTGGAAAAGGAAAGAGAAACCCATGTAATAACTTGATTTAACAGCCAATCATAACATAACATAATATAGATATATTTATATGTATAAAAGTAAGTGGAAATTAATACTGTTTTGAGGGTGTTTTTATGGTATCCCTCATCTACTTCTAGTTTTACAATTTTCTGGGAAAACAAGAATGCTCCATGTGATGCATGTTATCATGGTATATGTATGCTGGTCCCCCATCTTACATGTTCTATGTACATCTTTCTCCATGTTAATTGCACTTATTTTCATTCTTTTCTCATTCTTCAGGAATGCAAGAATTTTAGTTCAAGAAGTAGATATCAAGGTTCTGCAGCCATCTTCTTCTTCTTCTGATCCTGCAGGTAAACAATTCATCCACTGTTTATATTTTTGTTAATATTTCGTCACGTATTTGCACTACACTACATATATAATCAGATGGGAGATGGAGCGAAGGAGAAAAAATAGTTCCATTGAAGAAACGAAAAGGAGCCGCGAAGAGATGCGCCAGCAATGAGACACTGACGAAGGCGAGGATGAAATCGAAGATAAATAAAAAATGCGTGCAAGAAAATGATAATGTGGATAAAGCTGATCATGATGGAAATTATTGTCCGAATAAGAAGAGGGGCAATGTTATATTGGAGGGATCCCGATGCAGTCGAGTTAATGGGAGAGGATGGAGATGCTGCCAACCAACCCTCGTCGGCTATGCATTGTGTGAGCATCATTTGAGAAAAGGGAGGCTTAGTAGCATGACCAGTGTTCGTAATCGCTCTATGAGTGCACAAATGGAAGTCCCATCTCCAACTGAGACTACTCGATCGATGTCATCTATCTTGTGTGCCTTAGATGTGGACAACTCGAAAGGATTACATGAAATTGAAAATGATGATGAGAAGAAACGAGTTAAGTTCACGAAGAAGAGGACCAACGTTGGTATGGTGAAAGCTAGATCAATAAGCAGCTTGCTTGGCCAAATTGATAGCAAAAGTTGAGTATTATTTCATGTAGAAGAAAGTTGAATTGTTATTTGTTGTTGAATTATTAGGATAACTTATGTTCGATGCATATGGTGTTCAACAAGTAAATTTGAAGGTGAATTCGGAAATGTTTTTGCTCTTTCTTTCGTGCGTTTAACTCTAGTTATAAATTGTTGTCCTCGTCGTCATTTTATTCCAAAAAAAAAAAAAACAAATTTATTTATACCAACGTGTGAAACTTCTCTTGTGAAGATATTATGCACCATTCTTTATTGAAGTGGCAATTTTCACTATTTATTTTGACCAATTTAACTAGTTATGATAATTGTTGAATGTACCAATTTTCTTTCTTCTTTGGATAGGTGAGAATAATTTCGAATGACAAATAAAACATGTGACTATATAATTCAGATGTAAGTCTATTAATAACTTGAAAAAAAAATGTGGAACCATTACTCAAGTTCGTGTCTTCATTGTTATAATTCTTATTGCTGAAGAGAGAATGTGTAGCAACTTAATCCTACTGTCTCTTTCGTCCACTTAAAACGGTTTAAAGTGAGGCAATTTATGAAGTAGAGATGAGGATGGCGAGGGGAGAGCCCAAATATGTGATCATCTTGCACGCGGATGAGGCAAGGGAGGTTGCACGCAGGCGGTGGCAAAGGTGGGGGTGTGAGAAGTACAGATTTGTGTTTCCTATTTCTTCTTTAATTACTTTCTTTATCCATTTTCCTTTTCCTTCTATTACTCTTTTTTATTTATTTTTCATTTAAATTAAGTAATCCCACACCAACTTCACTCTTCAAAAAGAAAATGAAATAGAAGGTTGAGTACCCTCCACCAAATATTTTCTCTTATAGTTATGGTTATAAAGTTCACCATTCAATTGGCCAGTACATCAACTATTAGGACAAAGTAATGATGCATAAGGAGAAAGTGCTCAACATGCATCCCATCTATCTCCATTGTATAAGGTAGGAGGTATGTAATGGCTTACAAGTGTTACCTCCCACCCCACCCCACCCCATCCCACCCTTCCCTTAAACCCATCCCAACCCAACCTAACCTAACCCATCTATTGAAATTTATATATCTTGCATTTTATCTACAGACACACTATGAAACTCGAACTGAAATGAACCGGCACTTGGAGAAAAGCCAAATAGTTAAATTTGTTTGAATTTAGAGAATACGAAAAGTAATGAATTGAAATTCGAGCCAGTTGACTAGGACCTGATCTGAAGTTAATTTAGATTTATAATCTTTTTGTAGTCAAATACGACCAATCAATTGCATGTATATAAAAATATGTATAGGGTTCATGCTAGCAATTAAGAGTGAGTCTAATTTGTTGCTGAATTTATAAATGTCTCCACCAACATGAAGGTTGTTTTGATTGGATGCAACCCATCTGGATGCAAAAATAGACCTATAAATTGTGTGGATTCCATAGACTCCAGATAAAACCGGACCATTTTTGCGACACCATGGGATATTTTTCTACTCTTCTCTTTCTTTTTTATATTGAAATTCAAAACGAAAACTAAAAACAAAATATTAATATAGAAGGAGGGCAGGTGGTATGGCCAATGAACTAGAAGGGTAGATGATAAGAAGTATTATTAGTCATTTCACCTCGTCAGAATCTCTCTAGGAAGAAGTACTAAAGACTATAACTTAAATTCTCAATAAAATTTCAAGTAAAGCAACTGTTAACGGGTTAGAAATTTTTAAAGATCTCACTATTAGATCAATTTTTGAAATGAGAAATGTTCGATTCTTTAAGAATGTAGAGTTTGCCGAGTGAGATAAGGTTTTAAGGTTAAAGATATTGTTTTTGAGGAATCATATGTATATATCCCTTCTGTTTCAATGGACAATGATCAGGATCAGTGACAAACTTTTGCTCCAGATCTTGTTCGATAAACAATTTCGAGTGACTTTATAGTCTTTTTCCAAAAACATGATGATACCATTGGATTGATGGAAGATTTGATCAATCAAGTTTCATCATTCTTGCAAAAAAATAATTCTCAACAATGGATTGATCTCAAGAACAAAAAGATAATGTTTATGAAAGACATGACATTTGGTAACTCGTCTCATTACCTGAAAGTGCGAAACCTATTGGTTGTAAATTGATATTTAAAATCAATAGGAATTTGAAGGGTGATATGGAGAGATATAAGACTCGTCTTGTAACACATGATTTTATTCAAAAGGAAGGTGCAAACGTTAAAGAGACTTTCTCTTTGATTTCCATGAAAGACTCCTTTAAAATTATTATGGCACTTGTAACACATCTTAAACTAAGTCGGGTGATTTACAAATTAAAGAAATCCATCTATGGGCTTAATCAAAATTCTCGTCAATGATATCAAAAATTTCATCAAATAATTATCTCGTTTGATTTTGAAATGAATGCAGTTGATGGTCGTGTATATCACAAGTTCAGTTGAAGTAAGCATATTTTTGGTATTGTATGTCGATAAAATACTATTTGCCTGCAATAATATATGCTTATTGTACGAAATCAAGATATTTCTAACATGGAATTTTGAAATGAAAGAGTTGACACCTCTTTTCTGTCATGGATACGATTCATCGGGATAATTCTCAATGTATTTTTGGATTATCATGAAGGTGCTATATCGATAAGGTTCTTAAAAGATTTGGGATGTAGGAATGTAAATCAGGTGATACCCCTATTTTTAAGGGCGACAACTTTAGCCTCAATATATGTCCCAAGGATAAACTTAAAAGGAAAAAACTACAAAAAATTCAATGTGCTTTAGTAGTTGGGAGTTTAGTTTATACTTAGGTTTGCTCACATTTAGATAGAACATTCGTTGTTGGAATGTTGGGCAAATGTTTAAGTAACTCTAGGATGGATATTTGGAAAGCAACCGTGGGTTATTCGGTATCTATAGAGAATTGGGAATTACATGATCACATAAAAGAAATTGAATCAATTGGAGATCATTGGGTATTCTAATTCTGATCATGGAATATAATTGCAAAATGTTGTTGTTAGATTGCACGTTTTGGATTGAATTGAAAGACCACTTAAGTTACTATGTGACAATAACAGTCTTGTATTTCAAAAGGAGCTCGATGATGTCAAGGTTATAGACATTAAGTTCCTAATTGTTAAGGAATAAATTTAGAGTGGTCAAGTTTCTATAAAACATATTAGGACAAACTCCATGATTGCGTATCCGCTTACTAAAGAACTACCACCCATCTCTTTCGTAAGTGCACTGCTCATATGTGTATTGCATCTTTAGATGATATGGTAGTTTAGTGTGAGTTTGTATTTGTTGGTTGTTTGATTCGGGCACATTTTATGCTTATAGATATTTGGTTTATTCTGCAAGAATAATGTATTCAATTCATTTTCACTCTGACTAAAGTTTTGATTTTATCTCATTAAAGAATAAAGTAGGATCAGTTGAAAATGGATATATTTGGATCATATTACATATAATTTCCATGCTATATATCTATAGTTGATTTATGTAATTTGATTGTATTGATATATGTGACAATTGATGGGTTTAACTATAATACATGTAACAAAGACCGCTTTGATCCTATATTGGCATATTAATGAGCAAGATTATTTGAAGATACTTTTGATTATGACAGAAAAAGTTTTATCGTTATAAGGTTATGCACATTTATAAGTTAACATATGTGTTACAATTGAGAGATTGTTGGGTTTTAATTTGTCATGTAGGGATACATATGTTTAAATGTGTATAGATGTTATCTTAAGGTTAAACCTAATTAACGTGATTTAATATAGAATTAAAGTTATGGTCTTTGGGTATCTAAATAGAGTATGTGTCTAATTATGCACAGAGACTGAATCTATTAGGGTTGAATTTCATGATAGATCGAAATACATATGAAAACTATAATTAAGGTTATGGTCCTCAATACATATATGATTATCATTTTAATAGTTCAAGAATGACTAACCAAGAGGGGGTGCATTGGTTATTTAAAACTTGTTCAAAAATTAATATAAATACAAGTAAGTAAAGACCAAATAGATAAGTTTAAATAGTAAGCGCAAATGTAATGCAATAAGTAAAAGAGAGAGGATGCAAACAATATAATTATGAAGGTTCGATCTATAACAATTATCTACGTCTTCCATTACCAAACTCTCCGGCACGAGCAAAGCGTTTTCACTATATTGCAATCCAACCATTTACAACGCTTTCAGTGATTGATAAACAAGGAGCACCAATCCATATACAATGTTGAGCTTTACATGACTTCAACACATCCTACAAATTTAATAGGAAAATGGTTTTACAATTTGAAATATCTCTCTTAATAAATGATATGATCAAATTAAACACTAATAGGCTGACACTTTAATAAATAACTATGAATGAAATTCAAGTGTTGGTGAGAAAAAATTTGATCAATAAAAATGATTTTCAAAAGTTAATTCAATAAAAAGTTTGTCAAAATAAATGATTTGATAAAAATAAATCAATGTAGCTTTGTTAAATAATATCTCACATAAATACTTTTAAAATTGTTGTTTTGAATGTAGAGTAAAATTGTATTTATAGCAGTCAAAATGCCAAAAATCTGACCAATTTGACGGCCCAACAGGATGTCTGCCTACTAATCGGACGATTAAATTAGTCATTGTGTGTTAAAAAATCTGACCGTTGGACGAATCGAACATCCGCTAGGACAAATTTTTTTTCGATTTTTTCTTTCTTGATTATTTTAAAAGGTATAAGCTTTTGAATGACATTTTCACTTAACTTTTCAAGATAAATGACACTAGTAAAATATTTAAAAATCAAGTGAGAATTTTTATCTTTTTGAAAATAATTTTTATGCGAACGTTTTATGAATAATTTATTTCATGCAAAAAAATATAATTTTTGAGTTTTTAGTGGTTCATTGCTAAGGATTAAAGCATTTTACCTTTACATATGGATTCAAAGCATCTAAATCTAATATTTTCAATGAATGCTTGATTT